GGAGATTATTTGCGTGTTAACGTTGGAGAAGTGCTGGTCTAGAAGACCTTCCCAGGGCTCTGATCTGCCTAGAGTCAGCGGTTTTGTAGAGGAAAGTATGATTTTACAGCACACAGCTTCTCATATGAAGACTGTGTCCTATGCAACGTTTAAAAGGAGCATAAATGAGGGGGCTATGTACGTAGAAAGTCTTAGCGCTGGAGAGGGGAGACGACAGATGGGGCTTTGGAGAAACAACTTGCAATGAGCAGAAGGACCCACCAGAGGGAACCAGAGCCCAGGTGGTGACTGCAAGGTGGGCTCTGGGGAGGAGAAAAGTCCTTCTGCTTGGGAAAAGTGTGCCCACATGCTATTTCTTGGTAACCATGTAAAATTAAGCTGGAAAGTATACTTCAAAAAAAAAGATGGAAAATAATTGAGCATTATGGTTGAAAAACAGAATCGGAAGTTAAGAAAATTCAAAAGAAAAAAACCCAAGGTTTTAGAGACTGTAGAATATCATTATGAAGATATATGTGACAGGGCACCTGGGTGGCTCAGTGGGTTAAAGCCTCTGCCTTTGGCTCCGGTCATGATCCTGGGGTCCTGGGATCGAGCCCTGTGTCCGGCTTTCTGCTAGGCAGCGAGCCTGCTTCTCTTTCTCTCTCTCTGCCTGCCTCTCTGCCTATTTGTGATCTCTGTCTGTCAAATAAATAAATAAGATCTTTTTTAAAAAAGATATATGTGACATAATCTAGGAGAGTATCGTTCCTATCTGGGGTAGGAAATGATTTCTTAAACAAGGCACGGGAAGCACTAACCAATCAGGGAAAGACTGGTAAATTGGGAGGGCACCTGGCATAAGAGACACCTGTAAGAAAGGAGAGCGCCAGATCAACAGTAGGAGGAGGTGTGTGCCATGTATGGAACTGGTGAAGGGCTTCCATCAAGAATACATAAGGACGGGACTGGAAGAGATTATGCTGAGTGAAAGAAGTCAAGCAGAGAGAGCCAATTATCATATGATTTCACTTATTTGTGGAGCATAACAAATAACATGGAGGACATGGGGAGATGGAGAGGAGAAGGGAGTTGAGGGAAATTGGAAGGGGAGGTGAACCATGAGAGACTATGGACACTGAAAAACAACCTGAGGGTTTTGAAGGGGCAGGGGGTGGGAGGTTAGGGGAACCAGGTAGTGGGTATTGGGGAGGGCACGTATTGCATGGAGCAGTGGGTGTGGTGCAAAAACAATGAATACTGTTACGCTGAAAAGAAATTAAAAAAAAAAAAAAGAATACATAAGGACGGGTTGCCTGGGTGGTGCAGTTAATTGGGCATCTGCCTTTGGCTCAGATCACGATCCTGGAGTCCCTGGATCGAGCCCCTGCACTGGGCTCGCTGCTCAGCGGGGAGTATGCTTCTCCCTCTGCCCCTCATCCCGCTCTATTCTCTCTCTCTCTCTCTCTGTCTCTCCCTCAAATAAATAAATAAAATCTTTAAATCAACAAGAAAACAAAAGCTTACTAGAAAAAATGCACAAAAGACTAGAACAGACATTTCACAAAGGGTCATCTCAATGTCCAACAAAAAAAGCATTTGGTCTCATGTTACCCAGAAAAATGCAAATTAAAGCAACTGTGAGTTACCACAACATACCCACCAGTGTTGACAAGGGGGAATTACTGGTGGGATTGTGAGCTGGTAGAAACTTTGGACTAGAGCTGAGAATTTTGTAGGAAATCGAAGATATACATACCCCAGAGCCCAGGGCCTCCACTCCTAGACCTGCACCCACGGAAAAGCACGCACATAACCCAAGGAGACATGTACAAGAGTGTTCCCCAACTCGGAAGCAGCAGAAGATGGATTAAGCAACCATAACATAATCATAATCATAATCATAACATAAACAGTGAAAATGAGCCAAAGTCAAGCATATCAGTAAGTCTGAAAAACATAATGTTCAGGGAGAAAAGCAGACCCAGAAACACATACTATATGAATCCATTACTACAAAGTTCCAAAGTGGGATAACAGCAAAAAAAACACAAAAGACAAAAAAAACCCTGCTGTTAAAAGACTACAAAAGAAAACCATTTAAACTAATCTTTAAAAACCTAGTAAATATAAGTAGGTTTGATGGTTAATTTTATGGGTCAGCTTGGCTGGGCCATGGTCTGAGGAATGACTCTGGATGGTTCTGTGAAGATGTTTTTGGATAAGATTAACATTTAAATCAGTGGACTTTGGATAAAGCAAGCTGCCCTTCATACCATGGGTGGGCCTCACCCAGTCAGCTGAAGCCCTGAACAAAAGAAAGACTGATGTACCCCAAGCGAGAAGAAATCCTGACAGCAGTCCTGACCTGCAACAGGGGCTCTTCCCTGGGTCTCCAGCCTGCTGGTCTTCCAGTCTCACGATCACGTGAGCCACTTCCTTAAAATCTCTTCTCTGTCTCTCTGAACAACCCTGACCGATAGAGTAGGTAAAAACAGATGAAATGCATACAAAAGGTGAAGGCTACAAGGCAGAGACATAACATGAACATGAAAGGAAAACCCCCAGAATTGGCAGGTAAATGTAAACATGAAAGTAAAACCCAGATGACAGGCAGTTGCAAAGGAAGCGTGGAAAAGGAGTCAGCTCGTGAGGTAGATGACTGTGAATAAAAATGAGCCCCAAACCAAGTAACAATCAGGAATAAAATTTGATGTAAAAATGATCCCAGAGAAATACCTAAAAGCAAAACAAAACCAAAAAAGCTTGGGGATGCAAATGAGAGAGAGAGAGAGAAGGACGTGAGCTTGAAGCAGGTTAGTGGCTCAGTGCAGGAAGCATCGGTTTCCCCAGGGGGTGAAGACCTGTTGCCACGATGACAGCCTCCCAGGCAGCACGGCAGGGTGTCCCCTTTCTCACCCTCTTTCCCTGATGTCTGGAGAAGCTGGGTCCTGACCATGGCACCCTTTCCTGCCCGTACATTTTGGGATGGGACCTTAGATCCTTCCCCTAAGCATCTGGAGGTGACCAGGCTGCTGGCACACGGCTGGACCGGGAGGATTCCCAATCAGCCTGCCTCCCCGAGTAACAGGGGCCAATGTTTCCATGTATTTCCTGCTTGTCTGTTTCCCTCTTACATATTTGTGTATCGACAGCATCCGGATCATCCTCTGTATAAATAGTTGTGTATCCTGCTGCTGTTAAAGATCACATGACATCACACATACGTTATTGGAAATTTGTCAAAGACTTGCTTTTGCATTGGTATAGAATATTGCGACATAGATCGTGCACCGGCTGTTTCACACACGTTTGAGCGCATGTAATGTGTCCGGCGTTGTGCGGCTCCTGCGAGGCCACTCTCCGTTAGCAGCTAGTGTGGAGCCGATGGCTGTGTCACTGAACACAGAGCAGGAGGCATTTTCTTCACCGCTAAGAGGTGCTGCTGGCAGATTCCTGGGTTTGGAGCTGTTCTTGCCCGTGTGCATGGGAGGAGCCCTGTTGTGTTTTCGATGGCTCACACGGATATGAGCACTGGACCACGTCCTAAACATCTCCACTCTGAATTTCCTAGTGGAGTCAAAGGCAAATTTTAGGATCCACACTTGTCAGAACATGGAAGTCTTCTTGTGTGAGCTGCTGTCTCTTTTTCAATTTTTTCAGTGGGTGAGCCACTCAACATAGTTCTCATTTCAAGTCAGAATAATGTGTACAATAAAAGGCTCATTCCCACCACTTCCTTATCTGCGAGGTACCCACCTCCGGTAACCATTTTTATTTTATTTTATTTTATTTTTTTGGTGGGTATTATTCTAGATTTTCTTTATGCAAATACAAATATATATGCTTATTTGTTCCTTTCCCACTCTAAAAGTTAGTCTACAACTTATATTCTTTTGCACCTTCCTTTGTGCATTTACTTAGGAACCATATTTAACCGTATTTCTTGGAGATATTTCCATACAAATAAAGACCTTCCTTCCTTGATCTTTATTACTGGGGCATAGCGTCCCACTGTATGGTTGGCCGTAACTCTCTAACCAACCCTATTCATGGACATTTGAGTTTGTCATTAGGTTTGTCATCCCAAACAGGCTGTATTGACTAACTTTGTGCATATTTTATTTTATGCACAGAATTACCGGGTCAAGGATAAATGCAGTTTTGGGGGTGTATTTATTTATTTTTCCTTTCTTTTTTTATTTTTCAGTGTAAATGCATTTGTAACGTTTGGTATCTGTTGTCACATTGCTTTTTGTAGGGGTTGTGCCAACGTCCATTTGCACCAGGGACACTCTTGGTCCCACCTTTGGCCGGAGGCCCAGGATGATTGCTTATTGAGTTAGCAGGCCGAAAATCGGCTCTATGAGAAGCCCGGTGCTAGACCACAGCCACCTAAGAATAAGAGGCTGCTGGTATTTCCTTTGAGCAGAGGAGAGAAGGACCTATTAGATAGCAAAGTCAGTTTGTGACAGAGGGCGTGATGATACCAGGACTAACACAGACAAAGGGCTGATTTATTCTGCAAAGAAATCTTCAGGGGAGGCACAGGTGAGCTGGGCCCTGAGCGACAAGCAAGTTGTCAGAAGGAGGAGAGGTACCTGACACCTGGGGGCAGCATGAAATTGGATATCCAAGAGCCACGGATAGCTGACTTGCATGGAGCATGAGGAATTAAGATCGGAGAGGCAAGCGAAGCCCAGAGAGACTGAGCCTTCATCCTGAAGGGACTGAGCATCTCCGTGGGTTTGTACGTGGCAGTCACATGGTCAGATCGTCCCCCCAGCCACGTGCTCTGCCCACTTTGTTCCCCTGGACTCCGGCACTGCAGGAACGTGGTAAGGCTTGTCGGTTTCACCCCGGGGCATCATGTGATGCCTAAACTCAGACCTCACAATAGCCCCCAAGTATGTCAGTTATGATGCAAGAGAAGTTTGTGACTGTCCCTTGGGTTCCCATTACGCTGTCCTAGAAGGCAACTCCAGGCTCTGACACCTCCCATCCTAGCCTAGTGCAGCAGTATGATCAGAGAATGGGAGAACGGCTGTCAGAAGGTGGGAAAGCAGAGGACCCAAGAAAGGAAGGCTGCTGAGGGCACGTGGAGTAAGAACGGAACGCCGGTCAGAATATGCACCATGAACGACTCCTTTCGGGATAAAGACTCCCTGTGCTGCCAACCGGGTCTATGCTCTGCTTCGCCATTGGAGTGAGTGTAGCCTGTGCTTCTGGTCCTTTCTTTCCTCCCCCCACGTCCCCAGCCCCCCCAAGCGAGCCAAGGGGAGGAGCCCACCCCAACACAGTGGTCCTAGCCTGACGCATGCAGAGCGCCCTGAGGCTTCCCACCCCAAAACTAAAAGCAGGAAGACCCTTCCTGGAGTCCTACTTTACCTGCCTCTCTGCCTTTCAGGATATGGACCAAATTCTACAAATCAGATCCACGCATTGCCCTTGGGAAATACTCCCCCTTGGAGAAAGAGATCCTAGTAAGTGTCCTAGGGGTTATTCACAGAGGCCCCCCTGAAGCCAGACAGTAGACTGGGGTGGGGGTGGGGGGATGGAGTCGGAGGTTCAAACCCTACCAGACATGGAGACACAAGTCTCCCAGTGGCCTTGAGTTGGCTGCGTCCACTCAAGGCTCCCATGCTTGCAGAGCCGATCCTCCCCTGTTTCAAAGTCCTGATCAGGAATATAACTGAGTGCTGACTGGCGACAGGAGCTTCCATCTCTGCAGCCCTTCCCTTGCAGGAGCCACTTTCATATGTAAGGCCTCGCCATTGACCTAAGTGGGCACCATTCTTTCCAACTCACTGCAGAGGAGGAGAGACAGGATCGGAACCCGGCCTATCTGACCCTATAGCTCCTCCCAGTTTCCCAGCGCACAGGGGCTCAGACACTCAGCCATGGGAGGTGGGGTAGGTGCCTCGAGGCAATTCCTCCTGTGGGTGCCCCCTGCTCCTGTCCCGTTGAGACTTTAACCGTCCCCTTCACATCATCAGCGTCTGGGTGGTGTTCACACCATAGCGGCCAAGAGACTGCTGACTCACAAGCAAGAGGAAGAATGGAAAATGCTCAAGGAGCTCCAATCACTGTCTTCGGACTATAAGCGGGCGATGGAGTATAGAACCCAGCACTCCCCTCCCTGTGCCACCTGTAGGCACCTAGAAAAAATATGGACGGCAAAGGTGATCGTGCTCCCAGAGGAGTTAAGAATGCCGCAGCGTGAGAAACTCACCATCATCAAACACGTAGAACGGATGCAGCTTGCTCGAGCCCTCAGAAACCGACAGCTCTTGCCCTACATCGAGAGGTTTCGGGGCTCTGCCTTTCTGTCTGGAGGGGGCCTGACCCCAAAGGCCAAGGACAAGACGAGGGAAGACGAGGATGACGGGGACGCTGATTTCTGCTGCGACGCCAAGCAAGAGGAGAGAGGCGATGCAGAGAACACAGCCACCAAAAGACAAGAAATAAACATGAGCGTCATTTTCAAGTCAGAAGAGCCAAAAAAGGGTTTCTCACACCACCCAAGTGACCGGAAACCATTCTTCCCCACCAGGAAAGCGGAGCGGTCCATCACTGGCTTAACCAACCGGAATCTTCTCCACGTAGCAGAATTCCCTGGCGATCTCATGCTGATGAATCAGGATTTCATTTCACGGGGAGCCCTCCACACTGAGGCCACCAAGGCCAGCTTCCTGCGGGGAGAGAGCATCTGGAAGGAGTAAAAGCACAAATCCTCTCATCAGTATTAAAGTCCTCCTTATTCCCATGGTGGCCGAGTATCCTGGTCCTTATCACTCCTATGGCTCTGCCCCAGACCCCGGCTCCCCTGGGCTCCTCCAGGGGAGACCTACAGGCAGAGGCTTCCTGGTGTCAGGCATCCCTTGGTTCTTGGCTCTCGGCTGCCCCCCTCATCCAGAGCCCGGGACTTTCCAGGATGCAGACCCCTCCTTTGCACCCAGCGCCACGGGACCTGTGTCTCTTCCCCCTGCCGGTGAGACACATCACCCTCCAAGATCCCGGCTTAAAATAACACTCGTTAATTCAACTTGTAATTCCGGGGCTTAGCAGTTTTGGTGGGGTTCAGTCTGTTTGCTGCAGGTCAGTTAGGTGACTCTCCCGGGCGTGGACAAGCATCAGCAGGGTCTGTGGGAGGGACTGGCTGCAGGGTTCCTTGGTGCAGCAGGCTGGCCGAGGCTCGTTCACAGCCCCCTCGGGATCCGGGTGGGTAAGTGGCTGTTTGCGTGGCCCTTGGAGCTGAGACTCAGAACTGGCACACCATCACTGGGTCATGTGTGTGGGCCAACACAAGACACTCAGCGGGTCCAGAGGCAAGCATGGCCCCATGGACTTCATCTCTGGATGGGAAGAGTTGCAAAACCACACTACAAGGGGCATGAACACAGGCAGCGGGTATGGTGGGAACCTGATTGGAATCCATCTCCTACAGAGTCCCAGGAGCTGGTACCAGCCATTAGCCCAGATGGGGGAGAGAGCGCTCCTCAAGAAGGCTGCCCAGACCCAAAGTCTGGAGGTTGGTTCCCTGCTTCCCACAACTTGCTGAGGTCCACAACTTCTCCCACAGAAGGTAGAGCCGGCCCATTCCTGGCCTCCTCTCTTTGCTGCCCTGCTCTTAGTCTAGCCAGGTGACTCACACCTTCCTATCTGGCCAACAACTGGCACAGGGCCCGCATGGCTGCCACGTGCACAGCTCCTTCAGGCAGGTCTGGGGGGGCGGGGGTGCAGGGTCTCTGAGGCAGCACAGCTGCTCCCATGAAGACCTGCCTATGCCCCAAGGCCACAGACCCAGAAGACGGCCACCGGGGCAGCACATTGGGCATCTGCGACACAGGACACGTTCATTTCTCGTCTGCATCTGAAGCACAGGAAGATGCCTCAGTTCACTGCACTCTGTCCTCAGCGATCTGCACATAGCTGGAAAGACACTGAGCTTGTCCATGTGGGCCCGTGGCTTCCTGGCCCAAGGCCAGCTTTCTTTTGGGCTCCCTCCTCCTGGGTGGGGACGGGGATGGGATTCTTAGGTCAGCTCCTTCAGAACCACAGCTGCTCTCCCAGCAGGTGGAGAGCCCTGGGCCCGGAGGCTCCTCCCTCCCTCATCTTCCAGGATGACTCCACTGGCCACAGGGGCAAGTTAGGAGAAAGGCATCCCAGGTATTGTGCTGGGAGCCCCTATGGCTCACATGCCAGGGTGCTGGAGCATGCTGGGAGGGTGCACACATGAGCTGTGTCTTTTCATGATGTCAGCCTTCGTTGCTTATAAAGCAAGGTTGACATCCCAAACTCAAGGCCTTTTCCCACGGCACCCACCTTGGCTTCATACGTGTTTCGCAAAACGAACACAAGTCACGCATCGGCCTGTGGGCAACAAGGGTGGGAAGTTAACACACCTGGTTAGTGGCCCTGGGTGCGTGCACTCGGTCAGCTTCCGGCCAGCTCTTGGCCTTCTCTGCTTATTGTATTCAAACAGCGGAAGGTCACTGTGTCTGGAGGTCAGTCGGGCAGAGCCTTGCGGGGCAGCTGCCCTTCTGATGCGGTCAGAAGTAGGGGAGTCGGTGTCTGGAGAGGCTGACAGTTTGCTGTAAAAGTCCTCCTTGTTCAAAGTTTAATCTGTATTTAGTCCTTCCAGGCCTCTTCTGGTTCTGGTGATTGTCAGTTCCTGGTTCTCCTGGCTCTCCTGGCCTTGCCGATGACCAGTTTAGAGCCTGCACACTCTGTGTTAGCGATGTCTAGTCTCAGCTCACTGCTGTTGGTGTCTTACATCACTGCTTGACGTACCCTCTACCCTGGATCCTTGTCTCAGCTGAAATGTCACCTCCCCAGAGGCAAAGGTCACCAAGTGCTTAATGGATCTGGGCTTTATTGATAAGATGAAACAAACAGTCCTCCCTAAGCTTCCCCCAGCCTTGGTGCTGGTGGTGGTGGTGGGTGGGGGGGTAGAGTAGAAAAAGATGGTTATGATGATTTTGTCAGCACAGTACCCCCAAAGACAGAGTATCTGGTGGACTAAGCCAGTTTCCTTGTTCCCCTGCTGGGGAGGTCTTTTTGACTATGAACTAACTTGGGCATTTCTCAAGGTCTCCCAGAAAAACTCAAAAGCATTTGTTCTCTCTCTTTATAAAAAGGAAGATATTGAACTATTTAGGTTTATTTGACATGTTAAATAACATGGAAGCGTGGTCCAATAGGAAGTGATGTCTGACCTTTTTAGGTTACGCTGGGATGGGGATATATTGTTAAATATAGGTTTTCTAGAAATGGTATGGCATCCCTAGAAATCTGTTCTGGGATAATGGTATCACTCACAATTCTAGTTATGAACTTAACCTGTTTTATGTCACAGAAATAGTCAAATTTCCTTGTCAATTCCATTGTGATGAACTCTCATTGGATCTTTAACTGTGGCTATTTTTGAATCTTGTCATTTAAGTCTTGTCATTTACTATTCTTGGTTTACTCTGATGCTTTTGCAAAAGTGATCCATTTTCAAAAAGACTCATGGAAGGGGCTCTGACAATAGAGGCTTCTGATGACTTTAAGATCACACCACTGAACTGGGTGAGAACTTCCAGAACTCTAATGGAAAACCTGGATTCATAAAATGGCTATCAAAAGGGCAAGATCAATGAGAATTAATCTCATGGGACTGCATAAAGCCATGAGGGTGATTATTATGACTTTTGCTTCAAAATATCACTAGTTTTATAATATTGTGTTTTCCAAATTTAAGAAGACTTTTCTCCTCCCTCTTTTCTCTTAAGCTACACATGACTTACAGTAGTTTGGTAAAATTTACCTTTGTGAAGGAAAATGAAACAATCACGTTTTTTCCCTACCTAATCCCCCCAGCATATGGGAATTCTTAGTGAGCATTCTTATTTTCATGGCAATATAGTTATTTGCATAAGTTCAATAAGAATCTGTTCTCTTCATAACAGGACACAATTGGAAACATTGGTACATCACCAAAGCTTTGACTGGAATGTCATATTTGAGAATATGCCTGAATGAGATACAACCAGACAGCTTTAAAAACTCAGGTTGACTTTATGGAGCCAATAAAGCCCCTTGAAAAAAAATTGGCCCAGTACCTTGCTTACAGGGTTCCTGGCAGCCTTGCCAACTGACTGAGGAAGGTGACCTTCCGGCAGGCCCAGGACACTTGGGGTATCTTGGGGACCTCAAGAAGAGAGGGATTAACTCAAATCTATATGTATCATAGACAAAATCTGATGACAAGTCCTTGCCTTGGCTTCTAAGCCTTGAGAGGCTTTAAAAATCTAATCTGAGGTTCCTCATGAGACGTTCCAGCAAAGCAGATTAAGAAGAGCTTATATGGTCACCATTTTTCTTGCTGCACTTATGTAAATAATCAGGCCACGTTTAATGAGACTAGACTTATATGGCAAACCATATTTTGATGATCTCTGAGAGAAATTGGGGTAACTATAGAGGGAAAATTATATTTTAATGGGAAGCTCTAGCACACCTCAATGGGTGGGAGATTCTAGTCTTGTTCATTTGATATCAGATTTTGTTAACTACCTATACACTGTTTCCAATTATTCTCCCATCCTTCTGACTTGGAATCATTCAGAACTAAAACTGCTCTTTTCCTGAAGACATGAAAACTTCAGTTTGACGACTTGATATAAACCTCAGAGAAATGCCAGCAAGGCTCATGTTTAGACAAATTTAACATGTGTTGCTGTGTGGAGCAAATAGGCATATACACCTCAGGGCCTCTGAGAAGCTGAAGGGATGACTGGGGAAGCTGGCTTTGTAAAAACTTGCCCAGGCTGCCTGGGTCTCCAAAAGTGAGGAGCTGGGGCAGGTCTGGTCATCTTGGAGGCTTGAACAGAAAACAGCCTGGTCTTCTTTTGGCGAGACTCTCTGAAGGATGAGAGCTTGGCTTTCTGGCTCCGGGGACCTGCAGGGGTGTGGGTGTTTTCAGCTGCACATGACACACATGCCAGCTCCAACAGCCTTGCACAACAAGGACAGGTGTTGACACCTTTAGATGGAAGTAAGTGTGGATGCCTTGGGGCTGAAGTCATGGAGATGGTGTTGGAGGCATGGTGATGCTAAATGGTCTGGTTTGTCTATAAAACTCAGCCCAGTGTGGGGCAGCCTGAGGGGAGAAGCTTGTAGAAGGAAGGAACCCTCAGATCATGGAGAATTTTGTAAACTATGCTAAGGTGGGATCACTTTATCCAGATATCAGGGAGCCACTGAAGGGTTTTCAGCAGGGAGTGAGAATGGAGTGTTCCTGGTGGATGTCCCTGCTGGATGGCAGGAGTGAACTGGAAGAGGCCCTGATAGGCTTCTTCCCAGAATCTACAACAACATCAGCACAGAAAACCCATGTCTCAAGCACCCATTGAAGGAAGGCCATACCAGTGTGAGTTTCCCAGTTGGCTGTCTCAGGATGGTCCAGATGTAGGAGTTGTTCCCCAGGATCAGATGGCCCTGACGGAATGGTCCCAGGCTCTCCAAACAAGAGAACACTGCGTGGTTCAGGGCAGCTGCAGTCCCATAGGAGCGAGGACATTCCTGGGGACCACATCCTTGGTGATCCTCCCAACGTGCTGCTTATCATATAAAATGCAACATCAGTAACCCAAGTCTGATGATCCCACAGGCAACGTGGACTTTTTGTCTGCCTCTTTTTAGTGCTTTTGGTAGAGACCCATAACCTTCTGCAGTGTATTTTGTTGTTGGCTTGTGGAAACAGAAGAATTTCAA